GGCCGCGCGTCCAGAGGCGGCGGCAGCGGCTCCAGCGGCGGCCGAGCGCTCCAGCCCGGGCTGGGAGACACGATGCGCCGAGTCCTCCGGCTGCTCCTCGGCTGCTTCCTCACCGAGCTGTGCGCCCGCGTGTGCCGGGCGCAGGAGAGAGCTGGGCACGGGCAGCTGGCGCAACTGGGCGGCGTGTTGCTGCTCACAGGGGGCAACCGCTCCGGGGCCGCCTCCGGAGAGGCCGGCGAGGGCGTCGGGGGCTCGGACGCACCGCCGACTCGGGCGCCCACGCCGGACTCCTGTCGGGGCTACTTCGATGTCATGGGCCAGTGGGACCCGCCGTTCAACTGCAGCTCGGGCGACTTCATCTTCTGCTGCGGGACTTGTGGCTTCCGGTTCTGCTGCACGTTTAAGAAGCGGCGATTGAACCAGAGCACCTGTACCAACTACGACACACCGCTCTGGCTCAACACCGGCAAGCCCCCAGCGCGTAAGGATGACCCCCTGCACGACCCCACCAAGGACAAGACCAATCTGATCGTCTACATCATCTGCGGGGTGGTGGCTGTCATGGTGCTGGTGGGCATCTTCACCAAGCTGGGGCTGGAGAAAGCGCACCGGCCCCAAAGGGAACACATGTCCAGGTGGGCTGCCTCCCCTTCGCCCTCCTCTCTGGGTCTACTTTCCTTTCCTTCCCATCCCCAGCATCCCTAGCCATAGTTCCCCCCACCCCAACGTTTCCGATTGGGGGAATGTCACCCAGGACAACAACTTTCGCTTGCAGTATGGAACAGAGGCACTGGGCTCAGTACAGGTGGGGGTGAACGCCAAGTATGAAAGGGGAGGGTCTCTTTCTCCCTCGCCCACCTGCTGTCCCCTCTCACCAGAGATGGTGATGGGGCTTGAGACACACAGCCGGGTCTCCAAACTCTTGGGTTTTGGGGAAGAGGATCCATTGATTCTAGATGCTCCTCTCTAGGTAAACAGAGGCAGGCGAACTTGAAGCGCGGGGGGTGGGGGGGCGTGTGTGATCCCTTGTGCGCGTGTGTGATGGAGGGAGGGAGGAAAGGAGTGCGTGCCTCCTGCAACTCGTACACTAGCGAAAATGAAGCGAAGCGAAGGAGAGGGAGCGTGGTGGAGGGGGTGAGAACAAAAGCCTCCTTGGAGCCGCTGTGCTTTCTCAGAGCTTTGATGGCCCTTGATTAGAACCTCATCTTTCCCCTTGGTCCTTTTCTCCTTCACCATCTATCTTTCTGCTGCGGCCATCACAGCGCTGCGCCCCTTGCCTGGGTTGGAGCTGAATCCAAGGCCACGCTCCACCTTCCAAGCACCTTGATTCGTCAACTTTGCCGTTTGCTTTATTATGCAAGTCCCAACACTGGCAAAGTCGCAGCAGATGGGAGAAAAAGCATTTGGGAATTAATGGAGAGCTATTTGCCTTTTTGTTTAACCCCTTTCCCAAGTGTCTAAATTGATTCCCAGAACTCAGTAACTTTGGAGAAGAAGGATTCAGACTTGAGCCCAGAACCCGGGGAAAGATGAGGGGTTAGTGTGAGGTCTGGGCAAGAGAGATGAAAGGAGAATGACCACAGGCCAGCTAACAGCGGGATGGCTGGAGCAAAAGCCAACTTTGAGTCTGGGCATTTTGAAGTCACCATGTTCTCTTCACCCTCCAATCTACTCCCACCCCCACCCTGCACTGAGGTCGTGTGTGTGTGTGTGTGTGTGTGTGTGTGTGTGTGTGTGTGTGTGTGTGTGTGCACATGTGCATGCGATCCATGTACATGCCTAAAAATCTGAACAAAGAGACCCACCAAAAATAGGCATAGGAACATCACCACCTCACTAGTAATTATTTTCTATTTATATGTGGAAGAGTATCCAATGGATCTTTCTTTTCCCAGAGAGAAGAAATTTTTAGGGGAAGGTGGGGAAGTTCTGATCAGTTTGGGTTAATGGGGAGGTCTACTAGATGGTGAGGTTTTGGGGGCACAAAAGTACGCTCCCAGGGGGTCCAGGAAACCAGGACTGACCAGACACTGACCCAGCCTACCTCCTGTTACCCCAAGGTGCCCTGTCAACTAAGCTTCCAGGTGGGTTCACTTAAGGAGAGTACTATCCAGGGAAGTCTCCATGTCAGTGTTAGGGTGAGGGTGAGAATGGATGCAGGTCTGTGACAAGTGTATCGCTATGTGGGGATTAGTATTCAGACACAGGTAGGCTGCCTGGCTGACACCTTAACTGGGACTGAAATCTCCACCATGCCTTTTTGCTAGGTTCTTAAGACTCCCTTTTTGGGATTTGGTGGCATATCTGTGGGAGAGATCTATGCTACAGCTTGAAACTCCCTTAAATTGGGTGCTCTGGATAAACCAGTCCTCCAGTGATACTCCGGGCCTCAGTGGGGACCTCATTTCCCTGTCCTAACCCCCCCTCTCAGGCAGCTCTTTTGGAGGAATTGACTGGAGTTTTCCTGCAAGTTCTTGGCAAGGTCTGTTTAGAGGCAACATCCAGGAGTACTCAGTGCTGGAATAGCAGCACCTTAACTCAGGCTCTCCCTGGAAACATTTGGGCTTCTAGAATGCAGTGATTGCCTGGCTTTGGAAAGGGAGAAGACTTGATTATGTTCCTGGCAGCTTCTTAGGTGTGTTTTTCAAGCTTGCTGCTGTTTGAGACCACCTGTATTGCTTAACATCCCTGTTGTCCCCGGGGGCAACCTTTGACTTTAAATTAGAATGTGGGGTGCAAGCCAAGTACTATTGGGCTGGCAAAGCTCTCTAGGTGATTCTAATGCTCAGCCAAACACTCTGAAGGAAAAAGAATGAACACCTGCTGAGCACAGGGCTAGGTGCCAGGGACTGTGAGGTGTGTGTGTGTGTGTGTGTGTGTGTGTGTGTGTGAAAACTCAGTTCTCACAGCTAGCCTATGAGACAGCTATTACTTGAATTCCCTGTTCACATAGGAGAATGCACAGGTGAAGTGGCCTTGCTCAAAGTCACACAATTAGGAGAGAGTTGTGCCGTGCATAGCCATGCTGGGTCAAACTCACTTGCACCTGAGGCATATGTTTTAGGTCCAGTCTCAAAATCTGGGGAGCTTCCCAAGGTGCCGACTTTTAAGTTCTTGCTTTGGAGATTGGAAGTCAGAATGTTTGGAGTGGGACCCAGACATCTTCTTTAGCAGCCTCTTCAGTGAATATGAGATCCGGGAGAAATACTGGCCTTGAGTTTGGAAATATTTTACAAAGGTGGGAGGGGCAGAGTTAATCCAAGAGAAGAGCAGAGCACAGTGTGGCTCTCTTTGCATCCTGTAGCTTGTTCTCTCTACTTGTGTAACCTTCCTATGGCACCAGGCTGCCCCAGGTCCCTCCAAATGCATCACATGCTGCTTATGTACTTAATCACTCGGAGCCCAGTGTGGCAGTGGCTCATTAGCTTTGCCTGATGGTGCTAAGAGATCCTCCAGCAGGGACCAGTGCACCAAGCTTAGTAACAAAGAGGCTGCTCGGAGGTGAGGCACATTCCAGGTGAAATTAGCCTGCCAGCCACAGCCTCTTAGTGTCTGTCAGGAGCTGCAGGATGCAGACATGGGTTTGCTCTCCTTTTGCCTGGGAAGCACCTTGCCAAGGACATTCAGGTGGTGGTGTCCTCTGCACACTTTATCCTGTGATGAGGAAACTTGTGTTTTCTAGGGAGGCCCCCCAACATGTCAGAATGCACATTTGGAGTTCTTGACATATGGCCTGCTTCCCTCTGGGCAAGTGAGGGTGGAAAAGAAAGAGGACAGCCACCAGGAAGGGTGGGGAGAACCCATGCCATCTTGTAAGGACTGTACAAATGCAGGGACTAGGGAGATGGTTCAGTGGGGAAGAGTGCTTGCTATGCAAGCATGAGGACCTGGGTTCAAATCCCAGCACCCACATGAAAAGCCAAGCACTGTGGCGAATGTCTGTAACCCTAGTGCTAAAGGTGGAGACAGGTGGATCCCAGGGCCTCGCTACCTAGCCAGTCTAACCAGTTGGTGAGCTCCAGGTTCAGTGAGAGACCCTGTCCACAAATGTAAGATGCAGAGGGTATTCAGACATTCACCTCTGGCTTCCACATGGTCCCCCAGTCAAGTGCACCCCCCTTCCCCAACAAACATATGGCACTCTAGAAGGGGAGAGGGAGGGAAGGGGGATGAGAACTGTGGACACAGCTCTGCAGCATCATGAGAGCAGCCACAGGCAGCCACTGCTTCTGGAAGAAGTGACTGCAATGGTGGCTGGCTATGGCCTTTCAAAGCTCCTGGGGAGATATTGTTTGGTTTGCAGGGTGTTACTATTTATGCATCTTGAAAGTTTTCTGTGTATTGTTTCATGACAGTCTGACTGTGTGGCTTAAATTGGTCCCCAATTCATGGCCTCCTCACCCAAAATTCCCAGGGAATGGGTTTATAGGTGTGTGCCACC